CTGTGTGTGCATTCTTTAAATTTGTATTACTGGAGCAATATTAAGTCACTTAATCAATAGTCAGTTAGCGCAAAATGAAGCGGAAACCTTTCTAATAAACAAATAGGCACTTTAGTCTTCTTTTTTTGGCATGCCGAGCATTTGCTGGCTCTGCTTTTTAAATGTAAAGATTTTCGTTCTTCTTCATCTTTGTCACGTGATAGTAAATCTCTATGTTCATGACTGACGGTCGGACAAAACAAGGTGTTTGTTGAGCTCAGTAACCTCAACTTTTTTGCTCATTTGTTATGTTGTAAATTGTAAAGCAGGAGAAAACAATCACCAGATTGACTGATAATTAGTTTTATAAGTTATTTGAATATCTCTGAAACTGTGCTGAGCGTAAAGCTTTAGCTTTTAGCCTTTAAGAACTAGATTGTGCTGCTATTACAACTGGGAGCGCCTTATTATATTCACAAAAACTGTATCTATGCATGGGTGCTTAAAAAGTCATGAAAAAAACAAAATATCATTTTATATTTTCCAAATATCAGTAAATTGCTCTATTTGCTAAATGAAATTTGGGGTTTTTTGGTGCATTTTTAGTGCCTTTATTTGATAGGTGCAGTAAAGGTAGGCAGAAAAAACAAAAACACAAAAAAACAGAGCAAGGAAGTGACATGCAGGAAAGGTCCGGCCAGCCAGGAATTGAAATCTTGACTCTGCATGATGAGATTTGCACCCATGTGTTGACCCCAACTACTCAACCGTGAGTAAAAGTTTGAAAATGTATTTCAACAAGATGGTTTGATGGGTAAATGTGCTCCAGCAAACAGTAAAATAAAATGTAAAAAACGGTGTCCTCTCTGTCCCCACAGGTGGACAGCGTGGAGGCGGTGCTGGAACTGTGTGGATTTGTCGACGCTCTTCTTCAAGGTCTCATCGGGGCTTCCGGAGAGCGCTGGAAAACCGAGAGATCCGGGCTGCTTCTACAGCTGCTGTGCGCCTGTCAGCGATGCCTCAAGTTGAACGGAGACTGCCGCCCGCTCCTCAACTTAATACAGCAGCTCCTGTCTGCCTTTCAACAGGTGACTCTGCAACGTTTATGATCCAACATAATCCTAGATAATTGTTTACTGCAACCTGCAGTTTTTCTTAGGGACCTCGGACTCATTGGCTGCCATTAAAAGCTGTGTGTTTTGTAGGAGCTGCCACTGGACGAGCTGATGATGGGTGTGGCCCTGCTCCTGCTAGAAGCTCCTGCAGCTCAACAGACCAGCCTGCTCAGTCTCGGTAAAACAAAAATCGATAGCACACGAGCCGTAAAACCACAAATGGTTGTTACCTAATGCAGATCCTGACTCACTTTCATCTTTGTGCTTATCTAAGCTAACCAGCTGCTGGCTGTAGCCTAATATTTAGTTTAAAGATATGAGAGTGCTGCAAGGTGGATCGGTGGTTAGCACCATCACCTCACAACAAGAAGGTCACAGTTCGAGTCCTGGTGAGGACACCCGGGATCTTTCTGTGTGGAGTTTGCATGTTCCCCCCATGTGGGTTCTCTCCAGGTTCTCTGGCTTCCTCCCACACAGTCCAAAAACATGTTGAGGTTAATTGGGGATTCTAAATTGTCCGTAGGTGTGAATGTGAGTGTGCTTGGTTGTCTGTCTCTAAGTGTAGCCCTGTGATAGACTGGTGACCTGTCCAGGGTGTCCCCTGCCTTCGCCCTAAGTCTGCTGGGATAGACTCCAGCCCCCCTGCGACCCTAGTGAGGGATAAACGGTGTAGAGATAATGGATGGATGGATGGATGGATATGAGAGTGGCATTAATCTGAACAATTCCTTTCATTCTACAAAACGGATTCCTTTGAAGCAGTGAAAGAGAGTTAGTGCGGGCACAGTTAAGCTCTGTGTATGTCATGGTCAAAAATCCTGACCTGCCAATGAAACTACTTTAAATTCATTTTTGCACGAAACACATCCAAACACATCATGCTGCAGAGCGTTCGCTGGAAGCAAAACGAACCCAAGGCCAGAGACTCCGCATCATCTCTCCAACCGCTGCAAATTGGCTCATTTATATAATATTTCACTTGTAATTGGTTTACATAATGAATGCAATGAGGAAGAAGTCACGTAATGGAACTCGTTATAATTTTACTGCTGTTGTGAAGGTTGTATGTGTGCATGAAAAGGTTGATTTACCTTATTTAGGCAGCTATCACAGCCTAGATGAAAACAGGAATAGATACAAACACTGTGGACACCTGAGGAGTTTTTGTGTCCTGTTGAAATTAAATACGCAAAACTTGTGATCCGTAAGACCTGTTGGTCCTGGTTCATTCGGTGACGCCCATGTTTACTGATAATACTCAGGAAGTGCATTTTAATACTTCAGCAAACATTCATCAGGCAGCTACCGCTACTCAAAAACAGAAGTGCAGACTGGCTTTTTTTTTTTTTTTTTACTAACAGCACAGCCAAAGAGAGTTATAATGTTTGGATAAAGAAGGCAGTCAAAAATATCGAGCCCTTGGTATAATTGGTTTTCATGCTGCACACACCTGCAGCTCCTCATCTAACAGCTCACTGCTGCTGCTTCAGACTCTTCTAGTGGCAAAAAGAAAAGAAAAAAAGTCAAATTGCCTGCTGAGAAAAATGCCAAATTTTGTCTCGTTTTTGTGGAAGCTCTTTGAAAGCAGAATTAAAAGAGAGCAACATTGCTTTTCTTGTGACTTCTTCACAATAAACCCATCTCGTGTGTTGTTCAATGACTGCTTTTTAGCTTCAGAAATTGGGATTTTTTTCCAGTAGAGGTAATTTACACACAGCTCAGAACTACACACTGAAAAGAAGTGTACTGAAAGAGAATTATTTTCATATAATGACCATAAATAGGACAGAAACAGAATTCAGCATTATGAAAATCTGAAGGTTTTAAACATTGAAGCTGCACAAATAGTATTTTTTTATATGAATGATGTGACAAATGGCCGTCTGATGATTGTGTTGTTGTTGTGACCTCCTTTCTAGCTACTTAGTTTTCCATGATGTCATGTTGACTGCTCCATTAAACTAACCTGACAATCTCAGACTTCTTAACACTTGTATTCTTTACTTGTCCTTCTCTTTTTCCTGATCCATCTGCCATTGCAAATGTGCGTTTGTAGCAGTCAGCCGCATTGATTATCTACATTTTGAGTCGTGTGTCATGGAACACTTCAAGCTTGAAGTTTGTAATGTTCAACAAAATCAAATCAACTTTATTAATAGAGCGCTTTAGAACAGCTACAGCTGAAACAAAGTGCTGTACATGGGAAATCATAAGAAACAACAAAACAAACCAACAATAAAAACAGCAAAGAACAAATAAAAACAACTAAAACAGAGCGAGGTCTCATGCTGGGTTAAAAGCCAGTGAAGAAAAGTGGGTTTTGAGGTTGGTTTTTAAAACAGACGGTGAGGAGGCCTGCCTGATGTGCAAGGGTTCCAGATTTTAGGAGCAGCAACAGAGAACGCTCCTCAAGTACCTCAAGGAGCAGCTGATGAGCTGGCTGGAGGAACCGTACAGGGGCGCAGGGGTGAAGAAGTTCAATTGCAGCATAAGTTCTTTGCTGCTGCTGCTGCTGCTGTTGTTAATTTCATCACTCCTCATCAGCTTTTTCCTACTTTATAACCCAGTCTGTCCACATCATCAACCTTTATGGGATTCTTACCTCCTCCCTTTATTTTCCCTGCACTTGCTACAGCACTGACTTTAGCCCCCGAACAGGCTGAACTGTCGCCCTGGTTGAGCCCGGTCCTGGTCCTCCCTGTGCTGCAGCTCCTCTCCTGCTCGAGCCTCACCGAGCCGCTGGCTGACCAGAGGACACACAGCCTCAACCACAGCCTGGCCAACAGCCTGCTAAGCAGCATCAGCAGACCGACAGATAAACCCCGACAGGTAACCCTCGGGCTGTTTTTCAAATTCATCCTGTTAAAGCTGTTTTTTGTTTTTTTTCAGAAGCAATAACCAAACTCAAGAAAACTTGATTTGTGCTTAAAATGAGGAGGGTTGCTGCCCTCTTCACAGTCAAATAACCGGGTTAAGACAGGATCAGGTGTAAGCAGTTAAATCAAATCAAACAGTGTTAGAAGAACAGGACATGTAGAGATTTAACATGGTTGGTTGATATGAAAGACTGGCAAGAAATATTTGTGATAAATGAATGATGGACATTTGGTTAAAACACTGTGCTGTATTTGCTCAGAGTAAAAAGCAATAGGCTGAAGAAATATGGACTAAAGTAAAACTGCATACATTTGTGTACAGTTTATTCATGCAACCAATAGAAAATGATGTTTTACTGCTTACTGTATCTATGTCAGTTTGGAAGAAGAACATGAAATCCAATGTGCTGCCAGAATGATGGAGAAAATGAGTTTCATCAGCTTTTTTGTTGTTGTTGTTTGTTTTTTTTTACTGGGGACATAGGGATACTTAACCCCCTGAGCTCCANGAATGATGGAGAAAATGAGTTTCATCAGCTTTTTTGTTGTTGTTGTTTGTTTTTTTTTACTGGGGACATAGGGATACTTAACCCCCTGAGCTCCAAGCAGTTTCAAGGCATTTTTTAATTTTTAATTTTTTGCTCCTCACCCATTTCACTCACTGTTGATTCATTTTTCACCTCACTAAAGATAATAAAAAAATATTGTCTGTGCAGAATGACAGAAATCATAAAAGAGAGAAATCAATATTAGAATTTCTTTGATTATTTAAGAATGGTTCTGCATACTACACTCTGAAAGGTAATACCAATGCTAACTTGAATCACATTAGTGTGCTTAACATATTTCTCATTGTCCTGTTCATTTAACTCATGGACTCATTTTTCCTTAAAGAGTTTTAAAGCGAAGTACACTTGATAAAACTGGACTTGAAACGTTCTGTTCCTGGACTGAACACAGAGCTCAGCAGTGCACATGTGCAGGAGAAGTTCCCGGAAACTTTACGAGGCAGGTGGTAGAGCGGGTCGGTCAATGATTGGAAGGTCGGCGGTTCGATTCCGCCCTGTAACCTGGTGTGAATGCATATGAATGGATTGTTTGAGGTGGTGGTCGGAGGGGCAGAATAGCAGCCACGCCTCTGTCAGCCTGCCCCAGGGCGGCTGTGGCTACAACCATGGCTACTACTACCGGGATGAATGTGTGTGAATGAATAATTGACAGTGTAAAGCATCTTTGAGTGTCTAGAAAAGTGCGATATAAATCTGATGAATTATTATTATTTATTTCTAACCCTTGGAAAGATCAAGTTCATTATACTTGCTATTTTTACATTCACAAAATTAAGTAAATACAGCAAAATCTTAAGTAAACTTTACAAGTAGATATGAAGTAAACTGAATTTAAGACTAATGATTATATTTACTTACCTTATTTGAGTGCAACTGGTTTCATAGATTTGTTTAATTAAGATCACCTTTTCACATTTCACATTGTATAGATATTTTACCGTGTATATTTTTAAAATCCCCACAACTGAGGCGCTTTTTCACCTACTCTGCTTAAAGCTATTTCACCATGCTGAATGTATCTCTTCACAACTTGCTCCTCTGTATTATGTTTATAATACATGCTGCATTTATTTCATTGATCAACTCTGTTTTATTTTCCTCTCCGTCTTTCTAATTTGTTCCCATGCTTCTCTCATCTCTGCTCTGTTTAAACCCAGCTTGCAGTTCAACTGAAAAGTCTTTGAATTTTTTTTCACGTGAGAGCCGATCGCAGCTTAGTCACTTACGGTTTCTCAGTAGAATCGGGTGCAAACTGCAAATTGAGACATTTAAACTAAAATAAATATGATGAAATATTATCATTTTAAAGTTTCCCAACTGAACTGCACCAAGTATGATTAGTTCAAGGACCGTTGGAAAGCTGAAAATCTGATGGTTTTGATGATTTCTGTCTAAATATTGATTTTGGCTGCCCTTAAAAATGCTAAAAAGTTTTAGCATTTAAAAAGTTAAGATGAAAGCTGATATTGACTTACAGATGATGCACTAATCTTGTCTTACCCTGTAATAAATATCCGTCCGCTTATCCACTCTTTTCCTGGGTGAATCCTTCAAATATGAATTGTGATAGCTCTACTAACCCCCATCCCCAGTCCTAATTACATTTATTTGCACAGCGTTCACATCTCTTAAGAAAGAGACATTCCTGTTTTGGATGCATTAAACTCTGTTCCACAATAGGCTTCAAAAGAAAACTCCTTTTCATAAAGCCATTGTAATCATGCTGTATTTGCATATGGGAGTAACTGTTAGGATTCCAACTAACAACCAGGCCGCAGCCATAAATAAAACCACAGACTTTACACTGCGACGAGTTAGTTTGTGTAATGCTGCTCCCTGTTTGCCTGAACTAAACAGCAGCCCTGCTAATGTCAGTTTGCAAGCTTTGTGTCTATTTTACCTCCAAATGCTTCTATTGGTTTATTATTATTTAACATCAAAACTCTAACTTAGAGCCAGCAACACAACATACTTACATTGGGCCTCATTTAATTAGATTTTTTTTCCCATTTTTTTCCTTTACTGTAACGAGTATTGATAGTTTATGTCACATTATATCACATTTTAGCTGAAAAATAGCAGTGTTAGGCATATAGATGGGACTTCATCTTTAGAAGCTCCCATTGCAGATTTTTGCATGAGGCTTGTTCTTTTTTATTATTATTAGTTTTTCTTTACGTATATTATAAAATATAGATTTTATTAAAGGTCTTCTTCCCCTCAGCTCGACACCCCGCTGGCGCTTCCTCTCACTCCCTGGTACAGCGAGCTCAGCGTGGCTTTGTCCATCCTGCACAAAGTGGCCAGCGATCCGGCCGCGGCGGCTGATTGGCTGTTGGCAGTCGGTTCGGCCCTGTCCGGCCAGCGCCTGCCCTCCTCCCTCCTCCTCATCGTGACCCATCTTATCATCAGTGGTAAAGAAGACGTTTGCCAGCTGGCTTTGAAAGCGAGCCAGGCCGTCGCCGGTGCCGACCCCTGCCAGGTAGATAATCCACACAGCTGTTTCTCCAAAGTTTTTCATCTTGAATATCAGGGGAAGTTTCTTAGTGAAAACAAGCACGTGTTACCTCCATGCAAAACAGGTTATTCCAGCCCTACCTTTGTTTCCTGCCAGCTGGTAAAACAGTTATTTTCCACAAAGGTCTAATAGGTGGTTCTCCTCCCTCCTTCTCTATTCATTAGCGGCCTTAATTTGTATGTTAGCTGCTTACATTAGCTGGAGACAGAATACACTCTCATTATAGTCTGCATCCAGCACTGATGGGCTATATGAAGGAGGTCGCACTCATGCACTATTTTGCCTAATGGGAAATTGTCATGTTGTACATTTTTACATACTGCCTCTAGTTTGAATGGAATTTTAGACACGGCATGCCGTTAACCCTGACTTTGAAATGCTTCAAATTGCCATCTGTGAAGAAAACCTCACCTGCCTTTAGCTGCAGTTGTATAAAGAGAGAGCTTTAAACTGACAGACTTCCCTCTGGCCCTCGGGGACTGTAAATGGAGTCGCTAGCTCCAGAAGATGATGTGAAATATCACATGGTGTTATAGGCTCCTCATTACTCAGGCTCATAAGACGCCTTCCGAGTATTCCCCCGCTGCTCTAATTGCTCCCAGAGTGCCACTTGCGCCGGTGCTTTGATGCGTTGGTAGAAGGTTATTGGCATATTTGAATCCATTGGATTTCCCTCGCTGTAGCTCATCACCTCACATCTGCCCGCTTACAGTAGCAAACACCTTGTAGTTTGCTCTTTGTTGCAAGAGATGGGGGGGGAGGTTAACAAAGCTGTGTCCACAAGCAAAGGTGGTGAGAAGGGGAAAAAAATCATTACTATTCGTTGTGATTTCATGGAATCATATTAATCGATTGAAGGTGATGGTTTAGGGTCAGCAACAGACATTTTAGGGATTCAAGTGGTAGGAAAACCTCCTTTTTTTTTTTTCCTTGTGTGCCCCTCCCTCTTGCTCTCAAGCCATGCAGGTGAAGAGGTTGCTATGCAACAGCCAAGGTGCAGGGCAGCAGTAAGTGCTTTATGTTAATTAAAGGCTGTTACACTGCAGAGCTGTTGTCTGTCCAAGGACCCTGACTAGTTCTTATTTTTAACCGCAGCACTGAAGGGAACAATGAAGTGCTAACCCTGCATTTACCTTCATTCCGCTCTCTAACTTTAATCTATGAGGCTTTAATTGGTCCGAGTGTATAAGGGAGGCGATGAGAAAGGCTCAAATGTCCATAACTGTGTGTCAGACCATGAAGGGGCTAAGAGGTGAGACAGCCTCCAACCTGAAACGGTTAATCTGTACGTCCCGATACTGTCACCACAGCTCACCCTGCTGGGGTTCGTACATAGCTACAGGTCAAGTCAATTACTTTTAGAGAACCTAAACCTGTAAAGCACCTGACATCCTCAGTCCTCAGAGCTTCAGAGGGAGAAAAACTCTCCAAAAAGCCCTCTTAATGTGGAAAAAATGACAAGATAATAGACGGGGTGATGAAACAAGGCTTCAGAAGTAGGACATTTGGATTCAGGGGGTCTGGTTAGCACTCTCTTTAAGGTGTCCTCAGTGGGCTTCATTATGTGTTTCCTTCACCTGAACTCCCGTGTGTGTCTGCAGGTCCCTTCCCTCATCTCCGTTCTGTTGTTCAGACTGGCCAAGGAAAAGAGTCCAGTCCTGGCTCTCGCTGTGCTCAACTGCTTGCCAAACCTCGGGACTCATAAGGTACAGAACACCTCTGGCCTCCTTTTGTCCTACTTTACAATGAGTATAATCTGTGGTACCGTATAAGCTGAGGCACGCTCACATCTCACATCAGCTCTGTTTACTTTTATTATTTCAGTTCATACATGAGCTTTGCACATGATTGGGATTCTTTTTTTTTTTTTTTTTAAATAGAGTATAAAGAGATGACTCTGCTCTGATTGAGTGCTTTAATATTCCAGCTCTGTGTCCCGATGGTGCTGCAGACTCTCCACATGCTGGCCGGCGCCCCCAAGCTGAGAGCGGTGGCAATGCGCCTCATGACTGCTCTCTGGAAGAAACAGGTCTGGAAGTAATAATGATCATCACAATTACCATATTTTTTTTTACCTTATCTCTAAAAAAAAAATGTTGTCGTCTCTTCTTGTTTGCCTCTTTGTTTGTATCTGTAAGGACCGAGTCTACCCGGAGCTGCAGCGCGTGCTAGGTCAGCAGGACAGCAGGGTGGTGGTGGGGAAGGACACCCAGTGGGAGCAGATCCTGGCCAGGGCCGCCTGCCTCAGGGACATCTGCAGAGAGAGGTCAGAGGTTAATAATCATAAGCTGCAGCCACTGTAACAATAAATCATTATAATGTAGTTAATTAATCTTAAAACATGACCTGCAACTGGATGAATTAGTTAAAGTATAACTGTAAGGTCATATATGGATTTTTTTTGTCAGGTCAGTCTCGAAAATTTGCATAGAAGATTTTCCAACCACTTACCATTTTACATTAAATACTTCTGACTACAGCTAGAAAAGATCTTCAGAAATAAAGTGGAAGACTTTCTAGCACCTTCTAACGCCTTGATTTAGCTTTTTAAGAGTTTAAAATCAGCAGATACCCAGCAAATTGTTTAAAACCTCAGTAGCATTTCCCTTTTCTAAGGTTGCTTTTTTCAGTTCGTCACAAACTTGCTTTCTGTGTGTTTGTGTGCATGTGTGTGTCAGGCCTTACCAGCATGGAGGTGACATGTTGGCTGCCATTACACTCACTCTAAAGCAGTGCAACAGACCAGACCTGGCAACCCCGGCTGCTCTCGCCTTGCAAGGACTACAAGAGCTGTGTCGAGCAGAGGTACTGCACGTATAAGAAACAACATGGAGTTTTCAGTTTGAAACTCCATATGCCATCCCAAGGGTCAGGTTTACTGAGTTATTTGGGTAAATGTGCAGATTAAAACCCAGACAGGCTTCCAGGTTTGACTCGAAAACTCAATAAACCCGCCTCTTTGCTGTATGATCTAGGTGAAGTAAGGCTAGTAAATATTAAATGAGATTCACGTGGCTTGTTTTACAGGTTGTGGACATAATCTCAACATGGAGAAGTCTCGGGCCTGAGCTGAGCTGCGACTCCCGTCCACTGATGGTTAAAGCCATAGCAGAGCTTCTGGCTCTGGTTCCTCAGCTCGTTGTCAAGTCAGAGGAGTATGAGGTGACTGATTTAATTCTTTAAAAGTTTCTTTTTTCATGTGTGTTTGATGCACTTGCTTTGTACGCATGTTTCTGCGTTTTGTTATCAGTCTGAGTCTGACAGTGAGAGTGAGCAATGGTGGAAGAAGTACACAGATGTAATACTTAAGTCCTAAAATATGTACTTGCAGTGCCAAAAATGTAAGTTTGCAGAGTTGCCCATTTCATGATAATGTATCATTTGATGATAAGTATTGATGTATTACTTTACATGTCACTCTAATGCTACAGATGGTAAACATGGGGCTAGTTGTTGTTACTTACTGCTGGGTAGTTTGTGAGGTTCCACCTGGAGATCAATTAGGTCCTATCTTATTTTATTGCAATACATCACGTGTTGATTATATTTTGAATCTGCAAATTAAGTAGTACATAAAACTATCAAATGAATGCAGTCAAGTAAAATCTACAAAATTCCCCTCTGATGCTGTTAAATAGAAGTATAAGGTGCAGAAAATCCAAATGCTCAAGCAAAGTACGATTACCTCTAAACTTAAGTATAGTGCTTCAGTAAGTGTAATTAGTTACATTCCATCAATAATCAACTCTGGGTGAAGAATAAGAAAAGCTTATGATCAGTTAACTTCACAGTGTAACCCTAACTGTGCAGATCATCAGTGACTATACTGCCCTACAAAGGCAAAACACAGGAACTACATATTTTGGTCAAACTGAAACATGAAAAATGTCATGCCATAGAAGTGTGTACATTTGCCCGAAAACAGCTTCTTAGCAACAAAACTGCAGCAAATTGTAGTTTGTGTACATTGTGTATTTTGTATTGTGTGTCTGTATTGGTGTCCAGCTTAGATCATCTTGGTAGCTGCCGTCTTATTGGGGGTTAAGCTCCACAGACAAATCCCATAAAGGATATGGTCTGTAAAGAAAAATCAAACTAGTTAACATTGATCAGACCGCTGAGGATCTATGGCTTGTGGATACTACAGAAAGCCAGAGTAAAGCGCTTGGATTTTCTAGCTTCTGAGTGGCTTCAGATTTTTAGAGGGCCAGTTGTCAACCTGAAAAGACTTAAGATTAAAACACTATCTTTATGTTTGCCCTCCGGTCTTGAAGCTTAATTATCACAGCACTCTGCCTTTGTACATATAATGGTCTAACGTCAAAGAATAGTGGCTTGAACTTTGGAGTCTTTTCTATAGACTGAAGTAGTCTGTAGATATAGACACATACACTGTATTTAAACCTACTCCCATCATATCTACACACTATTTCAGGAGTCTTTAGACCATTCTCCAGCACTGACACACTATTGAGATAGATGTGGCTATGAGAGACGACATGTAAAAACTACAAGCAAGGGAACACAGCTTGCCTGGTTGTGTCCAAGTTCACTGATTAACATCGTGTTTCGGGTTTGTTTAATGTACACTAAACAGAAATGACACCTCATGTTATTTTCTAGAGTTAAAGTCTTGGTGAACATCAGCAAAGCTTCCTGAAGTCACAATGAGCTGCTCAGGTTTGGTGTTATTATGCTTCAACAGAGACTAAAACCCAAACCTGTGCACACCTAGTGTAACCGGTATCCCCCTGGTAAAGCTGGAAAGACTGCATGTTTGTACTTTTGAACTTTGGACAGAGTCGGGCTAGCTGTTTCCCCCTGCCTCTAGTTGTTATCTGAAGCTCAGCTGTTGTGACACGGGAGTGGTGTCAAGTGTATTCCCAAATGTTCCAACAAATTTGGGATCCTATGTTGGGTGCTAAAACCATATTTTTGTTGTGATGGTAGGACGTACTGTAACTGAACAAAAGTCACATATCAGAAAGAATACATGAGAAACAAACATAATCAAATGCTCAATAGCTTCTAATGCTGTGCTCTTTAGAGCAGGCGTGTCGAACTCTGGTCCTCGATTCAAATGATCAGCTCATCATCAAGCTCTGTAGAAGCCTGATAACGATCCTGATCATTTGAATCAGGTGTGTTGGAAGAAGGAAACATCTAAAACATGCAGGACTGTGGCCCTCGAGGACCAGAGTTCGACACGCCTGCTTTAGAGAAAAAGGCTCTTTTAGAAATTTTGTAACCTTTAAAATCTTTTTCTTTCTTTCTTCTTTTTTTTCTCAGAAACTGAAAGAAGAGGTGGTCAGCTTTCTCTGGAGTTATGCTGTGAACAAGGTCTGTGTACTGATTGTTTAGTTTAGAAAGGTTGAACAGATAATTCCAAATTTCCTCCATCATTTTGCCAAGTGATTTTTTTTCAGCCCCAAAATTCAGTT